GGATTTTTAATAACAATGCAAGAATTGTATTTACAGTTTCTTAATTGTAAACGGATGTTGATGGTAATTGGGGGGCATTAGATAACTTGGCTGGACTCTAGACTAAAGAGTATTAAAGTAATTCTAAATCCTAGATTTCATTGCCACATTGTACATTCAATTACTGTAGTAAAAAATATTTAATACTTATTTATGACTTATGAATCATTATACCGCTTTTGTAATTGACGATATTTTTTAATTTTTTACGGAGTTTCTGCCGCGCACCACCACTGTGTGGAACCAGCTGCCTTCTGAAGTATTTCCGAACCAATTTGCTTGTGGTCCTTCAAGAAAGGAGCTTACCAATTCTCAAAGGGCCGGCAGCGCACTCGTGAGCCCTCTAGCGTTGAGAGTGTCCATGGTTGGTGGTATTGCTTACACATCATCATCATCACTTCCTGCCCATTTGCCCCCTGCCCCCATTTAAATATAAAAAAATAAAATTTGACGTACTCTACATTTTCTATTACAACAACTGTAAAATCGTAAATAATATTTCAAGAAAATTTTATTAAATGTTAAATTATTTTACAATACAATACTGTAGACGTAAAGCGTATTATAGTCAAATAATTACAAAAGCTAAGCCGTGATTCTAATAACTTTAATCCGTAAATTAAAATATGCTTAAAAACTTTGCTCGCGATTGTACAATACGTAACATCATCACAGCGTATGATTTCGAGCTATTTTAAAATTTAAAGCGCTTGACATTTGACAAAAAGCTGATTATGACGTCAGTTTCCCCGAGTCCTTTCATCCAGGATTAATTCTGTATTTTTAAGGGTTTATCTTAGAGTTGAACGGGTTGTTTATCGCGCCCATTATATTATTTAATTTATTTAACGCTCGGCTTATCGACTTGTCTATTAAATCGACGATAGATTAATGCGATTCAAATTTATACATGAATCTTTGAGTTTTGATAAGTTGAAATATCTGAAAGCTTGTAAGGAATAACCTACGGACATAAGATAAATCTGAATTAGCATGCATTGTTTTATTCTTTTTTTTTTTTTTTATAAGACAATTCACACCAATTGACCGAGTCCCATGCTAAGCTGGTGAAGCTTGTGTTATGGGTACTAGGCAACGGATATACATACATAGATAGATAGATAGACATATAAATACATATTTAAACACCCAAGACCTAAGCACAACACCAAATGCTCATCACATCGATGTTCGTCTCAGCCGGGGATCGAACCCGGGACCCATGGATTCGCAGTCAGGGGTACTAACCACTAGACCAATGAGTCGTCAAGTTCTAGTAAGATACAGATTATATTCTATTTTTAATTGCGAATGAGTTCTTTCACATTTGCAAGTATCTAAGCCTATAATTTGGTATTGCCCAAAGGCCAAAACTACTTATAATCAATCAAGTATAAAAGATTTTTTTTATTTAAGTTTTCATTACAATGAATAACAGACTATACAGAGAAACTTTATTAGAATAGATACTCTAATAATGAATAAACTCCTATTATGTCTAAACATTATTAATTAAAATACTTGTATCTCCTTCATATTAATTACATTGAATTGTGTTAACATTTGTTTAAATTTTCATAGATTACTAAACACACGTCACACAAAATTATGTTTAGTTGACAGGATCTGCGGCCGGATTCATTTCGGATCGGATTTCTTTAAATTCCACCTGACGGATGACCTTACTGAGGTCACTAATATAACATTAAATTAAATAGATATTTGAGTCATCTACCAGATACACACTACATATTGTAACGAACAGTTTCGATGCTTTTAAGTGGTAAAATGATTTAAATGGTTTATAAAAGAGGCGAATTGGTGCCAGTATTGGCCATAATTATTATTTACGGAGTTAGAAATTAATATATTCGAAAGAAAGCAGAAAAGTTGGGGCGGCCGCAGAGCAGGCGGAACATATAAAACGGCTCAAACATAAGAGTCTTTCCTTCAACTTCGATTTTGTTCTCTTTGGAGTAGAGACTCTTGGGCCGTGGGAATCAAGTGCACAGGCGCTAATTAAAGATTTAAGTTGGCGCCTGGTAGATAGTACCGGTGACCCCAGAGCTGGTGCTTTCGCTCAACGAATAAGTATCGCAATACAGCGAGGAAATGCTGCCAGCGTTAGAGGTACACTGCCACAGGGACCAAACTTTTTAAATTGGCTTTAATTTTCTATATATTAACTTTTAATTTTAATAATTACATATTTTGAATATTATTTATACTATGTAAGTTAAAAAATGTAAATGCTTATTATTAAGTTTTCATTATCATAATATTAAATTAAAAAAGGATACAATTTATTAAGATAACATTTTTACGAAATTATGTTCTAAAAGTGCTAATCAAAATAATGCAGTGCTAATTAATACAGTTATAATTAGGGAAAATGATAAAATTATCATTTTATATATTTAATTTCACAATATTTCCTACATTTTATTAGATATGATCTTCTTTTATCTACATTCTGCATTAATTGCTGTTAATATAAAAAGTTAAAAGTATTTCAAAAATGGATTTCAAGTTTTTTTTTGATAAAATTTACCGTAATTTTAGCCTATGGAGTATTATTATCAAGTCCATAGCAGATCGATAGATAGATAGATAGATATCCTGTAATATAGCCTAATCACAATAACCCTAGAATAATAAAGGTGCGTACACAACCAAGTTTTTAAGTGTGGAACTCTTCGTATTGGACTAGATTTCCCACGTAAGCTTTAGAAAATACCAGGCAGTCCTGGTAACCCGTGAATTCTATAGGTATACTAGTGGACCCCACAGACGTTGTCCTGCATGATATTTAAAGCGATTAGGATATTAAGCAAAGTATGAAAGTACCGACTGCAGTGCCATCTGCCGGGCTGATTTGTGAATCTAAACCATTCCCAGATCCCCTTGAACACACACAAAAAATTTCATCAAAATCGGTCCAGTCGTTTGAGAGAAGTTCAGTCACATACACACGCACACAAGAAATATATATTAAGATATAGCGAGATACATGAAATATAATAATTAAGTGAAAATACTTCAGCGGCTTTCTTGCATACATTGATTAAAAGAAAAGATTATTACAAAATTTCAATTGCATTATCTTTATGCTCAATTATTAGCATTATATTTGTCCTCTATTAAATCTACATCATTTAGAAAATATAACTAATCAAATAACAATGTTGTAGTGTAATATTATTTACTCGCAGTATTTAAATTTTTATTAAAAAACAATTGTAGCCATTCCATTCATTGAATGAAATTATAATTTAAAAAAAATTTACTTCAATGATATTAACCTATATAGATATCATTGAATTAAATTGTTGCATTTGCAATGTAGAGGTTACTTAGTACCTACCTTCGTAGTACTAACAATTTTAATTATTTTAAGTAAAATTAACTATGTAAAAACTTTTCTAATTTTTAAATCTTGTTACAAGGTAAATGGCATCTATTGATGAAGTATTAGTGGTTTTAGAGAAGCATGTGATTATTCACTACTAGCTTCCATGAAAATCGAACCTAAATTCTCCGGGTTTTTAATAATGTTCGTTATTTACTAAGCAACGGAGATTAAATACTAGTATTTAATTAAAATAGCTTATTATAGCTACTATTATTTTATATTGCTATTGTTTAAACAAATAAAAATATAGGATCGCTGAAAATATAGCTAAACTACAATGTAAAACCATAAAAACTAAGACTGGTTGACTAAACACGGTTGAGTTATGTGAGAAAGTACAAAAAAGAAAACAAAGTTGTTTTCAAGTATTCCTTTGTAAAGTTTAAACAAGTAGCTAAGCTTGCATTAAATAAATTATAACGAGGCTGTGATAATTTGTGTCTGTAATATGATAACTCGATAGATCTATTGTTCAATGGTTTCTCAGTAAGATATAAACTTGCGTGACTGTTCTCAGTATTGTCGAGATGTCAAAGCATGACCCGATGTTGTATAACAATTATGAGATTGTATCAAACTGTTACAATTATTTTAATTAAACGTACGTAATCCTACGTTACGTGAATGGGTACGTCGCGTTGATGTCTTTTTCTTGAAGATTTCAAGACAATTTTTAATTTCTTTAATTATGTGATTTCATTCTACCAGACAGAAAGAAATAACTGAATTCTTTTTCTTTAGACAAAGCCATACGTTTTGTCTGTAATGTGACACGAAAGTGATAAATATTTAGCATTTTATGGACTATGTTTATAAATAAGTTAAGGAAATTAATTATATTTATATAAATTGTTTGTGGCATACGTAGAGTCGCCGGGTTGTAGAAATAAAGGAGCTAAAAGGATTATTTATTTTTAATTGTTTTAGCTCATTTTTTAGTACTATCGATAGTAGGTAAATAATATTTACGTAATCTAAAACTTAATAAATCATTAGTATGGGCTTATCTGTGCTTGTATCAACTCTTGGAGTACTCCAATACAGCTTTGGATTAAATAATATATGTGGACAAATGAGCAGATATAATATCTAATACTCTTTAACTTAGGTTTCCAAAGAAAAGTTATTTAATTTTTAACAATAAATAAAATTTCCACTATGACGTTCTTATAAGAATAAGAAAATTTCGTATATTTACGAAGCTATACATACTTTTTAAATGATCACTAGTATTATATTAATTGTCTCTTATCGTGTTCCATTGTTTTTTAATCTATGCTTATTTTATGATTTTTATTAGACATTCATTTAATATTCCTCCTTTATACAAGTTACGTCTTTAACGCAATTTTTTGCAATCCATGGCAAACTAATGTATGTTTATTTAACTATGTATGTGCCTAGTCAGTCTTAAGTTTGGATTTTTTAATAATCAATAACATTTGTCAGTAGGATTCATGATCAACATGCTATCGGTACAAATATTTCCACGCATTATGGAGGTTTAAACAACCCATTTAATCGTTCTGGTTGATAGAACCATGCTAACCTGGTGAATCCGTTGCTGATCGATCCGAGTCCGAGTCCCGATGTGCGCTAAGGTCCCTTGGAGCCGCATCCAGGATATCAGTGATCATGAAGCGAGTCCTGGGCGCGCGCGAATCGCGCTCGTCTCGTTGCACCGTCATCGCCACGGCGCCGCCGGCGGGGCTCGCGCCGCCCGCCCTTACCGCATCCAGCGCAGGCGCAAACACCGCCCGCTCTTCACCATACCATTTCACTACTACAATTGTCTATAACACTTAAAATCCGAGTTGAATGTTATAGCACTTAGCACGCACTTGTCGTAAAGTCCGCAACGTGACATAGGCGACACGAGCAGCCAGCGCGGAGTGTGGCGAGTGACTGAGTGTGTCGATGTGGGCGCTAGCCAGGGGGCGGCGTCGGCCAATGGGTGCTATGCCCCCCTCCCGTCCCGGCCCCTCCCGCCCCAAGGGGCGTGCCGCTGCCATGTTGGGCCGCGGGGCACTAATGCTCTTTTTGCTTGGAGAAAGCTCGGATTTAAGCTTTTATACGTGGATAAAACGCTTTTATAGGAAATAAAGTGTTCGCGGGATATCGCGCTTTACGATGGCTTGGAGATAGTATACCTAATATCTATTTTTTTCTGCAACGAAGTGTGAATAAATAAATTAAATGCACGTATGTTTTAACACAAAGAGTCTTAAATATAATTTTTTTAACAAAACGAAACAATGATATACAAAATAAAATTACAAATAAATAGTCACACATACTCACACACAGACACGTAACTAGATTATATTTTCCTTTTGTTCGTGACATTTTTATTTCCTTATGCAATACTTTGTAAACATGTAAATATAAATATTAACGTGATACGTACCGTATACGCCTCGTTTGTCGTGGTCATAAATAATTTCGTGCAGTAATCATTCAGTGTAGACGCAGCCTAACAATAATTTTACTTATAAGATTATTCATTACTAATTAACTATGTAATGAGATAACGCGTGGGCTTAAATTACTTTTTAAATGATAATATTAACTTACATAATGTACCGTTTGAAACGTGTTGGCAATTTTTTCTTGAATGTCGGCCATTTTGATTATTCGTATTTATCTAAAGAAATATTATTTTAAGACACCAGGGTAGGCCAATAAATATATACGAGTCGAATAAACTTCCTTTTTGGATTTTTTAAGTTGGATAAAATGATTATACATATATTAAAAAAATAATAAATCCGTTAAACCTTTTAATACCGTAGGAACCTTAAAATGTGTTCGTAAATACTACTTTCAAGTGTTCAATATTTTTTGACATATTTTTATTATTTTACCGTTTCCTGAATGAACGACGCTGAGGTAACAAAAATATCAAATTATCACAGTAGGTATATGGTTAAATATATAAAGCCATTATATTAACACTTATAATATATATAATTGGACGTGTGCTTTAGATAAAAAGTCTTAATTTATTTGGTTTCTTATTAACATGCATAGATCTAATTTGTTGAGAACGGAAGCAGGACAAATATAATCGTTTATTTTTAGTGCAAACAATTGCATAATGTAAACACAAACTTAGGCAATGTTACAACATAATTATTTGTTTGGAAGATGAATTACGTAGTAGTCTATTACTCATGAGCATGTCTATAGGAAAATTATTTATAAAAGTATTTTTGTCACAACTTAAAATATAACTAAAATAAAAATGCTTTGTAAACGCAGTTCATTTTTTTTCGAATTTCGAATGATTACAGATACACAATTTCAGTTGTAGGAAGTATGATATTTATTCCTTTTAATTTGAATTTAAAAAAATAGATAAGGTTCTATTTTTAAAGGTCAAGATTGGAAATCTAAATATTCCAACACATATTCATGTTATAAGAAGTGAAAAAGTGACGCACAATTTAATGACGTCTCAACACGTATTGGCGCAAAATTGACAACATGGCGTCTTTCTCATGAATAAATTAACAGTTTTCATGTAACTTGGGAATATTTAAGTTAATCTCAAAGCACTATTTTCAGCACAATAGCAAATAATTAACTTCAAAATGGTTAGTGTTTTTTGATGTTAAATTATGCGATTTAACGTCTTAGAGCGATTCTAAATTGAAGTAATTAACTATAATTGTGCTTAACGAGAGTTAACAAAAACGTAGTTTATTTAATTGAATGCTAAAACATTAATTCGTATTCATAAATTTAACTTTACAGCTATACAATTTGGTATAATTGTTTCATTCCGTTTAAGTTTCTACGAAATACCTAATTATTACATATTTTGTCATTGTTAAAATTTATTATCAATATTATCGGATAATAGTCAAATTTTATACTAGACCCTGTATCGTAAATTACAACATAACGGATTCCAATATCAAAGTTTCTTTTTCCGTTTGAAGTAATTGAGTTAGATACCTCAGCGCTATATTATTGTAAATGATATCAAAGTTGGGTTTCGTCCTTAGATGACATCATTTGGGTATTTTGTTAGGGAGTGATGATACCACTCAATATTATTAGTGTTAGTTGACCACATCGAACTTAGATTAGAAATTTGTCCGGTCTGAATCCCATCTTTTGACAAGCAACATCTACGAAATATGATTTTAATCTTGAATGACTTCACGGTATTTTTATTTGAAACAGTGTGCCAATATATGTTCATTGAAGTGGGCACAGGCATAAATAGGCCATTACACGCTCGCTATAAAGGGAAATCTTTGAAATTGCCTTGACATATGGAGGGAAAAGATATGAAAGGAAAATGCTAAACATTTGTATCGGAAAAGTGAAGTTATACATATCGACTGTTAAGATTAGTTTTGTGTCTCACAATAATTCTTTTTAAGTAATTATTTTATAATTACTACGCCCTACACACCTCAACTCCAATAAAGAACTTGGAGTGCGTATTCCTACATTCCATCACTACACCACAGAATACTACTAATAGACTAAAAGAAATTATAATAATTATTTAAAAAATATCTGACTTTTTTCTTGAGGGTCTTAAGACGGCTGTAAGTACGCCGTGCAGGTTTTAATAAAACATATATTATATATTATATTATATATATATTTACGTATTGATAATATAATATATCTGTCTGTAAATTGTCTCCGTATCTCTAGGCTGGTAATTAGTTCATTAAACGCGTCCTCATCAGTTGTATTCCCGAGAAAATAAATATTAAACAGCAGTTCAGCCGGACAATTTGTCACTGAAATAAACGTTAAATAATATTTGTTGTGATAATAACTTTAAATTTAATTAACAACACAAAACACTTTTACGTTTTGGGATCTCAAGCCAAATTAAATTTGTCCCCACACCCGCTTAACAAAGTAATACAAATAAAAAAGCTTCTAAGACGTATACATTAAAACGAAATCGATTTCACAGCTCACAACGCCTGTCAAATGCGACGCAAAGCCGGGATTGAAGCTATAGCACGGTAGAACTGGGCCTATTATAAATCGTAATCTATTTATTGTCATACAAAAACTTTTGATTTTATCTACTTGACGAAAGAATTGTCACCTCGGCTTATTATGCCAAAAGATGCCTGTTAGAATATCAATCTTATCCAGTTGTTATAAGATTGAGTTTTGAGCGGTCAATGTTCTAAGCAGCTTAGCAATGTGCGCTTGAGGTTACGTTTGACGTTTCAAGTAACGACCCACTGGCTTCGAAAGTACAGACGATGACAAAATTGTTTAATTTATTTGTGCCTAATTGTTAGTAAAAAGAATTAATTAAAATATTCAGTCAGTCAATATTACTGGAGTTATTTTTGTTGACGAATAAAGCTTATTTTAATCTAGCATAATTTATTCGAATTTATTTTAAAAACAATTTAAGAATAGAACAACGCACCTTGTTTGCCTTAATGCATATAGACAATAACCATAAATAATAATTTATAACTCAATTGCATTACATTGTAACTTAGTAATTGATTTTACTATGACCACGACCCCACAATTAAACACCGGACTAATTACTTAGATAAATTGCCAGTAGAGTTTATACGAGTACTAATTGCTATAAATGCTGTATTTTTCACATTCTTCGTAAATGGGATTTTTAATAACAATGCAAGAATTGTATTAACAGTTTCTTAATTGTAAACGGATGTTGATGGTAATTGGGGCATTAGATAACTTGGCTGGACTCTAGACTAAAGAGTATTAAAGTGATTCTAAAACTTAGATTTCATTGCCACATTGTACATTCAATTACTGTAGTAAAAAATATTTAATACTTATTTATGACTTATGAATCATTATACCGCTTTTGTAATTGACGATATTTTTTAATTTTTTACGCAGTTTCTGCCGCGCACCACCACTGTGTGGAACCAGCTGCCTTCTGAAGTATTTCCGAACCAATTTGCTTGTGGTCCTTCAAGAAAGGAGCTTACCAATTCTCAAAGGGCCGGCAGCGCACTCGTGAGCCCTCTAGCGTTGAGAGTGTCCATGGTTGGTGGTATTGCTTACACATCATCATCATCACTTCCTGCCCATTTGCGCCCTGCCCCCATTTAAATATAAAAAAATAAAATTTGACGTACTCTACATTTTCTATTACAACAACTAAAAAATCGTAAATAATATTTCAAGAAAATTTTATTAAATGTTAAATTATTTTACAATACAATACTGTAGACGTAAAGCGTATTATAGTCAAATAATTACAAAAGCTAAGCCGTGATTCTAATAACTTTAATCCGTAAATTAAAATATACTTAAAAAATTTGCTCGCGATTGTACAATACGTAACATCATCACAGCGTATGATTTCGAGCTATTTTAAAATTTAAAGCGCTTGACATTTGACAAAAAGCTGATTATGACGTCAGTTTCCCCGAGTCCTTTCATCCAGGATTAATTCTGTATTTTTAAGGGTTTATCTTAGAGTTGAACGGGTTGTTTATCGCGCCCATTATACGTTTTATTATTTAATTTATTTAACGCTCGGCTTATCGACTTGTCTATTAAATCGACGATAGATTAATGCGATTCAAATTTATACATGAATCTTTGAGTTTTGATAAGTTGAAATATCTGAAAGCTTGTAAGGTATAACCTACGGACATAAGATAAATCTGAATTGGCATGAATTGTTTTATTCTTTTTTTTT